TATCCTATTTAAGTGTGTACAATAAAAATGAGCCACGGCTCGCTAGTGGTCTGGCTGCAGCATTCAACATGTGTTTACTACGTCCGTCTGTATCGCAGTCCTTTTACTAGGTGATTTAAGTTATGCTGAGCGATCAGAAGTTTAGAAGACATTAAAATATACGGGATGTGTGAAACGCTTAGGCATGGTGGGGGTCTGTAATTCTTAGGCGTCTATGAAATAAATACATTTTAATTGCAGATGAAACGGAGACTGCCGTGGATTATCGGGTAGCATTGATATTTCATGATTTTATTGTGTTTAAAATTCTGAAGTGTCTTTGGCTTGAAATATTAACTTTATTCGTTTTTAAGGTGGATTTCGAGGGGGTGGCTTCTATTAAAACCCATCTCCCTCTCACTTGTTGAAAGGAGCGTCGCATGCTTCTCCTCCCACGCGCTGGCAAACAAGCTGCTGTTTCTCTCGCCGGTTCGCGGATCCTGTAAATGTGGCCCGTGTGCGATACTGCCTTCCCGGCTTCGCCTCCCGAGGGCGGTGCCAGTCCTCCGTCATGCGACGAGGGTGCGAGTCCCTGGGGGGTGATGGTGACGGTGCTGGGGGGCGTGGCTGAAAACGTCGTCCGAAGGACCGTCCTCTCTCTCCGCTCCGTCTTATCGGAAGACTGTAATTGTCTCATTAAACTCCCCGAGGTTTCAAATTAACAGCTTGCTTCTGAGGAAATGAGTCGGCGGTCTTCGGGGAGTGAGTGGCGTTTTGGGGTGATGTGGATGAGTGCATCAGAGTATGCTAAAGAAAATCAATTTCCACATGCAGGAAAAACACACCAGAACTCTAGAAAAGATAATGCTATAGGTTTCTGATGGGCATGGTTTGGAGGTATATTTTTTTATGAGAAACAGTGTTGGTATTTGTCCAATTCTCAGTGCCAGGCAGGCTGACGAATCTGCAGAGTCTGGACTGGCACCTGCCTGTGCCCCCTCCCCAAGGAATGTGTTCCTGTTTGATCAGCTGCTGCTGCAGTATTGTTAAGGTGTTGATGAGTGTAGTAAATGCAATCGACTTCCTTCCCGGACAGAAGTGGCTGGGGGTGCAGTTGGGTTTGGGACCTGAACCATAAGTACAGAGTACTGTAGATGTAACTGTTGGATCAAATGAAGAGCACCCCCCCCCTCCCCCCCCATTCCTTTGTCTGTCCTGGTGCCCTGTACCTGCTGGCTGCTCCCATGCCCACTGGCTGTCCCTATACCCATTCTTCCTGGCATGATCCTGACAGGGAATGTGGTGCGTTTGACTGGGAATCTCCGCTGTACCTTCAGGTCTGGGGACCCAGCCTGATGACGTCTGGCTGTGAGCCAGCACAGAGCACGTGACTCACTGCTAAGCCCCAGTTCCACCAGAATGTTTTTATGTCATCATATGGCAGATTGTGCTTCTAGAACATGACCTGCAGCTCGGAGATTGTGTTTCAAAATCCCGGATCCCAAGGAGACGGAACAGAGAGCATGGCTGCGGGGGCTCCGGTTGCCTGTCCCAGCTGTATGACGTCACTGTCTATGCTTACAGTACAGAAGCGAGTCCTCATTGGGACATTGTCTTCATGGCAGAATGGTGGCTGGGTGTAGGTTCAAAGCTCTTCCCCAGTCTGGGCCCTTCACCTGAAGGAGGAACGAGTCCCAGGTTTACCTTGAGAGAGACAGCTTTGTATTAATGTGAGACTGATGCTTCTCAGGGTGCTCATGTGTGCTTGTTGAGGATTCTGCAGATTTAACCAGCGGTTATTTGTATACCAGTATGTCAGCAGTGGAGCGCCTGTGAGCGTGCCTGTGGTAGCACTGGCGGCAGAGTACCTTGTGAGCGTGCCGATGGTGGCGGAAGAGCATCTGTGAGCGTGCCTCTGCCTGTGAGAGTGCCTGCTGCAGTGATGGACTGTCTGTGAGCGTGCTTGTGAGAGTGCTGATGCCGGAGTGCTTGTGAGTGTGCCAGTGGTGGCAGCGCGTGCCTGTGAGAGCACCAGTGGCAGAGTGCTTGTGAGTGTGCCAGTGGTGGCAGCGCTTGCCTGTGAGCGTGCCTGTGAGAGCACCAGTGGCAGAGTGCCTGTGAGTGTGCCAGTGGTGGCAGCGCGTGCCTGTGAGAGCACCAGTGGCAGAGTGCCTGTGANAGTGGCAGAGTGCCTGTGAGTGTGCCAGTGGTGGCAGCGCGTGCCTGTGAGAGCACCAGTGGCAGAGTGCCTGTGAGTGTGCCAGTGGTGGCAGCTGTTGCCTGTGAGAGCGCCGGTGGCAGCATGCTTCAGTGTAGAAGCTTCTCCTTGAAACTCGCGACCACACTGGAGGGGAGCTGGGAGGCACTAAGGCACCCTGCACTCCGCGACTCGGGCTGGTATTTTTAGCTGCATGGGCATTGCAGAGCCTCAGCCGCCATGAGATACGTTAACACTTCACTCAGACAGAGAGGTGGTGGGGGGGTGGGAGCAGGTGTGTGGTTCACTGGGATATTCGCTGCCCTGCCTCCATCCTATCATTTTCTCTGGCCAGTAGGTCATCACACCAAGGGCAGTAAGATTACTTCCCAGGACAATTGAACCTCTGCCAGTGATAGGAGCATGAAATGCAGTTTGAGAAATGGTGGGTGGAGCTACTATGAGCTGTCAATCACTCTCTGGCTTCACCCAATCACAGCCAGCAAAGCCAGTAAATAGATAGGCTCATTTCTCCTGTCACTTTGATCACTTTGTAGTGTGTGTGTGTGTGTACTGGTTTTGCTATAATTGTGAGGACCAAAGGACACGATAGTGATTAGGGTTATGCCCATAGATATGAATGGACGGACCTCACAATATAGGAATACCAACATGTATGTGCGTGTATTTAAATGCAGGGGTATCTTACAGCTACAGTCTGCCAGCAGGTGTCGGCTCGGGACAGACATCGCTGTCGGGGGCAGGAAGCATGACAGGCCTTTGCTGACAGCTGCCACATCTCCTGCCTTGATGTGTTTGCATCACCTCTCTGACAGGCGCATGGCGTGTAATGCAGGCTTTGCCGTCTGGTTTCGGGGGGAACTCCTGTTCCTTGAGGGTAGGGATGGGACCTGGTGGGCGGGGCGAGGGTGGGGTGGAGCCTGGTGGGTGGGGCACGGTGGGGCACGGCGGGAGTGGGGCATGGTGAGGTGCCCCCTGTGATCTGTGCTGCGACCAGGGCTGTGCCTGGGTCCAGCTGTTGGTAAAATATGGTAAAAAAGCTTTTTTTTTTTTTTTGGAAATTATATAGTATAAAAGCTCACCAATTAATAATCTGTGATTCACTGGTACCACCTTCAGAAAAATGCGAAAGCCCCCACAGCTTGGTTGTGTTTAAAGCCCCCGGCCCCTCCTGAATGGCGGAGGAGCTGATTCTGCTCACGCTGGCTGCTTGTGTGGGACCCCTGACACGTGCTGCTGCTCCAGGCAGGAACAGGCAATCAAATGTCCTTCACGTTATCGTGTTATGCAAAAATGTGTTAAAATGGGAAAAGGAAATGTGAGCGGTGTGCGTCTCTGCGTCAGTGTGTGTGTGTGTGTGTGTTGTGTGTGTGTGTGTGTGTGTGCGTCTCCGTGTGTCTGTGCGTCTGTGTGTGTCTGTATGTGTGTGCGTCTCCGTGTGTGTTGTGTGTGTGTGTGTGTGTGTCTGTGTTCCATATCAGCCCCTTGCTTCCTGAGCAGCAGTTTATGGAGAGCACATGAGGGTCTGCTTGGGCTTTAAGGAGCGGGACAGGTTCTGCTGGGTCCACATGATTCTGTGAGACCCTTTTGGATTCTGCAGCTTGTAAGGGTGAATTAAGAGGCTCTGGGGAACATGCTGGTTCTGAGTCAGGAGAGTCCTCAGGAGGGAGGTTACTGGGGCACTGAGTAGGTGTCTCCACAAAGAGGCAGGGCTGCTCCTCTGTGGCCCTCACAGGGCGTCTGCCGGGTGGGGGGGGGGTGGTGACAAGAGATTATACTTGTTTTGTTTTGCTAGTGTTTCTTGGAAGGGACAAAGACCACAGCTGTGGACCCCTTGTTTATATTTGGTGTTTTTAGCTGGGTAACAGGCCTGGGGATGCCTCTCTGGGGGGGGCAGTCCTGGACTCTGGGGAGGTGTGGCTTGGCTCAGGCACAGGGGCGTGGATTCAGGCTAATGGGGAATTCGGCGTGATGGAGTACATGTCGGGCCGGGTCAGCGCTTTTGGCTGCAGGAGAGTCACGGCCGTCCCCTCTTAACCCGGGATGACTGCTGGAAAAAATGCTTGGTTATCTGTGCTGATATTTCCCAGTAACACTGGTAGCTGGCTGGGTCCACCGTTGCTGCATTTATCGGAGTAGCATTTCTGTGCGCCGTATCCATGCTCAAACCATATCCATGCCTTTCGTTTCCTGCTGACTGGGGTTACAGAATAGTGGCCGCCCCCCAGGTACCATCTCTGGCTGGCCCCGCCTCCGCCCGCCATCTCTGGCTGGCCCCGCCTCCGCCCACCATCTCTGGCTGGCCCCGCCTCCGCCCGCCATCTCTGGCTGGCCCCGCCTCCGCCCACCATCTCTGGCTGGCCCCGCCTCCGCCCGCCATCTCTGGCTGGCCCCGCCTCCCAACACCATCTCTGGCTGGCCCCGCCTCCGCCCGCCATCTCTGGCTGGCC